GAGGACAAACTTCCATCACAGAACAACAGCTGACTTTTTACAGGTTTTCAAAGATATGTCGAAGAAAAAGTTCATCTCCTTCTTCCTCCAGGAGACTTCTTGTTTCTAATAGACAGAAGTTTTTGGACAGTCTGCCCTCTTTGCGTTCCCAAATAAATAGAGTACAAAGTCAAATTTCAGCCTTAGAAAAAGTGATGCCTGCAGATGAGAAGTTTCCAGAGGAGGATGTTCAGGATAGGCTGCAAAGCAAAAGTGTCTCCAGATTGTCTCGTGATCATTCCCTTCCTCCTCCCAGCCTCTTCACCATAATCAAAGGTGAAGTGGGGGAGAAATTAGACAGAGAGAAGACAAGTGACGCAAGGCAGGCAGAGAATGAAGACAGTGAGTCAGTATACAAACATCAAGGAGGACAAACGTCCATCACAGAACAACAGCTGACTGAAGATGAGAAGTTTTCAGAGAAAGGTGTTCGGAAAAAGCTGCAAAGTTTCCCAAAATTGTCTCCTTATTCCTCCAGTGGTTATTCCTCTTCTTCTTCCTCCATTCCTAATTTCGGGTATGAAGAGATAAATCAAAACCTGCATTCTCTTAATTCAATATTGCGTCGTTTACAAAGTCAAATTTCAACCTTAGAAAAACTGATGACTGCAGATGAGAAGTTTTCAGAGGAGGATGTTCAGGATAAACTGCAAAGAAAAAGTGTCCCAGGATTGTCTCATTATTCCTCCAGTGGTTATTCCTCTCCTTCTTACTCCAAGACGGTTCTTTATTTACCGTATGAAAAGATAAATCACAACCTGCATTCTCTTAATTTAATATTGCCTCATCTACAAAGTCAAATTTCAACCTTAGAAAAACAGCTGACTGCAGATGAGAAGTTTCTAGAGGAGGATGTTCAGGATAAGCTCCCAAAGAAAAGTGTCCCAGGATTGTCTCGTTATTCCTCCAAGAGGAATCTTGATTTAACGTATGAAGGGATAAATGTGAACCTGCTTTCTCTTAATTCATCATTGCCATTTCTAGAATATAATATGTCAGACTTAGAAAAACAGATGACTGCAGATGAGAAGGTTTCACAGAAAGATGTTCAGGATAAGCTGCCAACCACATTTCCTCCTTGTCGTTCCTTGGGTCTTGATTGTGTAAAGAAACAGAAGAAGGGAAACTGGAGCAGCTACAGTGGAAAGAAAAAATCTAAAACCCATTTTACTGCTCCTGTCATTGATTCCTCTGACGACACGTTGGATCAACCTCCGCCTGCTAGACTCACAGAAACAGTATCGATAAAGAGTCAATCCTCTGCAGCAGATGTTACACCAGGAACCAATCAGGATAAAACCCTGGAAA